CTTCCTTCCTTCCTTCCTTCCTTCCTTCCTTCCTTCCTTCCTTCCTTTCTCTTTCTCTTTGTCTGTTTCTTTTTCTTTTCTCCTTCTTTTCTTCCTCCCTCCCTCCCTCCTTCCTCATCTTAAGCTTTTCCTCTTTCGGTCAGGATCCCAGGCTATTTTCCACTCAGCCCTTGAGGGAGCAGGTTTTCCAAAGCCACCCCAAGCTTCTGTTTCACAGGGAGTTTTAACTAACTTTCCGAGAGCGAGAGGGGACCATGGGGAAAGCAGGATTTCAGGTGGGGAGCTCTGGGTTGGGGTCTTCTTCTTCTTCTTCTTCTTCCTCCCCTGGCTGTTGGCCAGAGTGTAGCCAAGACCATTGTGAGTTGGGGATGAGGCGCTTTCCCAGCCTGCTCCACCTCCCTCCCTTTGTCCGTTGCTCAGGGCCTAATTTAGCGATGTCGGGGAGAGAAACGCTGCATGAAAACGGGCCTCTCTTTATAGAAGCCCCTCGGACCGCGGCATCTGCCAAACCAGCTCTTGGTCCTTGCTGCTTTTCCGATGCTTCATGGGGGCTTCTCCTAACCTTCTCCCCAACAGATGGGCCACCCCGTGACCCCCGTCCCCGCTTCAGCAAGCTTGGCCTGCGAGAGGGAGCGGGGGAGGGATGGAGAGCCATTCTCATACAAGAAGAGCCATGGGGGGTGGGGTGGGGGGAGGGGCAGGCGAGGGTGGGGGGTGTGTGTCCCAAACACAGGCATCTTCCTGGCATCGGATTATTCACCCGTCAATCGAGAAGCAAGTTCAAGGGGCCTTGCTGAAGAGGTGGAGATAAGGATGGGATCCTGTGCCAATGAAAAGTGCAGACTCCGTCCAGTTGTGCTTTTGTGGTTTCATGAATGGACCCGTGGAGTTTTCTTGGCAGGAATAATGGAAATGGTTTGCTATAGGCTTGGTGGTCTCCCATTTAAGATCAACCTTCCTTCCTTCCTTCCTTCCTTCCTTCCTTCCTTCCTTCCTTCCTTCCTTCCTTCCTTCCTTCCCACCTTCCTTCCTCCCTCCCTTCCCATCTTCCTTTCTTCCTTTCCATCTTCCTTCACACCTTTCTTCCTTCCTTCCCATCTTCCATCCTTCCTTCTTCCCATCTTCCTTCCTTCCTCCCTCCCTTCCCACCTTCCTTCCTTCTTTCCCATTTCCTTCCTTCCCATCTTCCTTCCTTCTTTCCCATTTCCTTCCTTCCCATCTTCCTTCCTTCCTTCTTTCACATCTTCCATCCTCCCTTCTTCCTATCTTCCTTCCATCTACCTCCTTCCCTCCCTCCCTTCCCATCTTCCTTTCTTCCTTTCCATCTTCCTTCCCACCTTCCTTCCTTCTTTCCCATCTTCCATTCCTTCCATCCCTTCCCATTTTCCTTCCCTTCCCATCTTCCTCCCCTCCCTCCCTTTTCATCCCTTTCAACCTCCCTCCTTCTTTCCCTCCTCTCACCTCCCTTCCACATATTTCAAGAAGTCAAGAAAGACATTTCTCCAACCAGACTTCCAAGCGCATCCGAATAGACCTCCCGTCATCAAGTTAGACAGCCTGGCTGAGACTCTTTAGATTTGTTGTCCAAAATATCTCCGGAGCACCAGCTGGCGATGGCTTCTCCAAATAGCTCAGTGGGTTGGCTGCTACCCTCTGCTTCCAAACTCTCTTTTTCCACAGCTTTATTTGTTTGGCTGATTCATTAATGAATCAATTAATCGATTGCCTTCCCACTGCCTTTGGGCTCCTCTATCCTCTCAAAGCAACCTCCATCCTTTCCTGTGACACAGGCAGGCCCTTTTTCTCCCCGGATACTTCTTCCCAAGTAGTCTGAGAGTCCACAGTAGGTTCCTTCACGGATAGCAAGAGGGCAGAGCAGATTGGGAGAAGGAAAAGTCAAAGAGAGAAGACCTGTTGGCTGGTGGCCTTTTCTCCCTTGCTTCCAAATGTTATAAGATGGCTCTGCTGTATGTAAACCCTTCCTTCCCTTTCCGCCAAATGAAACTTTCAGGGTAGACTTTCCCATAAAAGTATTGGACAGAGCTTATCTCCTTTGGGTCAGGGTCCAAAATCCAAGAGAGACATGCTGTGATTCTTCCAAGGCGATGCCTGTATTGTTCCTTGCCTATAGACATAATCGTGCTAAAACTAAACTAAGCAACTAAACTAAGCAACTAAACTAAACTAAACTAAAGACAACCTGTGGGAGAAGGAGTGGAAGACTCTCGGGTGGAGTTAAAAGAGAGAGCAGCCCAGAATCTGTACATAGTCACAAACAGACCAACCCCTTTCAATTCCACTGACCTTTATTGAATTCCTAGCCCGTGCAAAGCATTGACTGAGAAGATTCCTGTGCGTAGGCGTTTTAGCAATGAATCGGTTTAGTTGGAGAGTATTTGTAGCTCAAGGTTGAAGGGATGAGTCCTTGGTGGTCCCTGGGCTTGGTTGTTTTTTTGGAGACCTTCTAGGTAACATCACTAGCACGGATGATTGGGTAATGAAACACCTGCAAGAAAACCGCCAAGTTCAGACAGCATGAAGGATCCTTCAGTTGGATCTTCACCTGGTCTTTCATGCCAGACATTACTACCCACATAAAGCGTATACTCTGGGAACTCTTAAGCAGGAGCCACCTTCACCCTCATTCTCACACACAAACTCTCTGAACTGAGGTGTCTCTTGCTCCTCCTGAATTCATTCCTTCCCTCCAGGGAGTCCAGACCACTGTCAGGGTTCCAGCGACTGCCCTAATTAAATCATGAGCCTCGGCCCCAAGCTTCAAAAGAATTCAAAAGATTGATTAGGAGCAGCATGCCAGCATTAGCCTCGGTGGCACAGTGGTTAGAGTGCAGTACTGCAAGCTACTTCTGCTGACTGCCGTCTGCCTGCAATTTGGCAGTTCGAATCTCACCAGGCTCAAGGTTGATTCATCCTTCCATCCTTCCGAGGTGGGTAAAATGAGGAGCCAGATCGTTGGGGGCAAGAGGCTGACTGTAAACCGCTTAGAAAGGGCCATAAAAGCACTGTAAAGCGGTATATAAGTCTAAGGGCTATTGCCATCTCCCTCTCCCTCTCTCCCTCCCTCTCCCTCCCTCTCTCTCTCCCTCCCTCCATCTATCTACCTGTCTACCTACTTGTCAGTCTGTTTGTCTATCCACCCATCCATCCATCTTTCTCAAGGTTGACTCAGCCTTCCCTCCTTCCAAGGTGGTTAAAATGAGGAGACCCCGATTGTTGGGGGCAAGAGACTGACTCTGTAAACTGCTTAGAGAGGGCTGGAAAGCACTACAAAGCGATATATAAGTCTAAGTGCTATTGCTAGTGCTATTAACCTAAATGAAGCCAACTCTGGCATAGGTAATTTACAATCACCTGTGACCCTGTTTCCCCCACCCCCTCTCCCCTGGGTGTATCATAAATCAGATTCTCCAATGAAGCGCCTTCATGGGCTGAGTGTCATCAATCACATTCTCCAATGAAGGATTTTCGTGGGAAGAAGATTTGGTAGCCCAGCTACAATCTTTTAAAGATACAGGCGGTTTTAAACTGCTGCACTCCTTCAGATTTTCCCCTCCCCTTGTTTATGGCAACTTGGAAACATGCATAGGAATGTTTTACGAGTTGACAACCGCTATCAAGTCTCTAATTTTCTGGCTGAATATAGAGACAGGCAGACAGACAACACTACGCAGGCTTCCATACAAAGTTTCTTTATTGGATTGCATCGGGTATCCTCAAGGTATAACTCGCAGTTATGCTGAGACTCATCTAAAGTCCAATCTTTGCATTGTCATCTTCATAGTGTGAAAAGATAGCACGATGCTGGGGTCCGGGTATGAATGACCAAAACTCAACTCAACCCAACCCAACCAGAGGTCAATTCAGTGACCAATCAGGATTACAGATTGACCACATGACATGAACTAGCTCTCCCAAGAGGTATTAACTACATTTCCCATGAAGCATTCCCTTAAGGGGACAGCTCTCATTCCCAAACTAACTCTATACTGTCTAACCAGCACAACCACATTCCATCCCTTCTGGCTAAGCTCCCCCCATGACGCTACTTGCCTTTTCTTTCCCCCACCCGATTCACCGTTCTCCCTTTCCCCCCATGACAGTTTCTTCCTGTACCGATCGAAGTTTATCTCCGGACCTTCAGGACCCCATGCAGGACGATACAAAGGAGACAGACAATTCCACTTCCTCGGATAAAGAAACCACCAATAATGAAAACGAGGAGCAGAACTCTGGAACCAAAAGAAGGGGACCTCGGACCACCATCAAGGCCAAGCAGCTGGAGACCCTCAAGGCAGCTTTTGCAGCCACCCCTAAACCCACCCGGCATATCCGGGAGCAGCTAGCTCAAGAGACGGGGCTCAACATGAGAGTCATCCAGGTAAGATAAAAACATTTGGCTTTATTAGAGTTTTGAAGGTGCCCAGTTGGAAAGGGCAAGACTGCACTTGGAGTACTTGGAGTTGGACACTTTGAAAAAAAGAAAGAAAAAAAGGAAGGAAGGAAGGAAGGAAGGAAGGAAGGAAGGAAGGAAGGAAGGAAGGAAGGAAGGGAGGAAGGAAGGAAGGAAGGAAGGAAGGAAGGAAGGAAGGAAAGAAAGAAAGAAAGAAAGAAAGAAAGAAAGAAAGAAAGAAAGAAAGAAAGAAAGAAAGAAAGAAAGAAAGAAAGATTCTCATTGAAACCCTAGAAAGAGTGCAGAGAAGATCAACAAGGAATAGGGACCAGGGGTGGAGGTTGTGGGAACTGGGGCTATCTAGTCTAATGAACGGAAGAACTAGGGGTGATATGATAGCAGTCTTCCAATATTTGAGGGCCTTCAAAGCGAAGAGGGTGTCAAGTGCCTGGAAAATCAGGAGATCCAGGCAGTTCAAATGGGTATAAAGATTTATTGTAGGCTTAAGCTACAAGAATCTACAAGAAAATCTACAAGAAAATCTACGAGGCTTAATTCTACAAAATTCTGAACTACTAACAGTCAAAGCAATTTGGCGGTAGATAAGGAATTCACAGTGGGCTGGATTTAGATCTCTTGTGGGTGCGAAAGGACTCATGGCTGATGGTGCATTTGACCCTTCCCTCCGGCTCAGTCTGGTCATCTTCTACAGAGGGCGGGGTCAACCTATTCTCCAAAGCACCTGAGGGCAAGGCACGAAGTAATGAGTAGAAGCTTGTTAAAGAGAAATTCAACCCAGAACTGAGACATTTCCTGACAGTCAGAACAATTGCCTTCAGAAGTTGCAGGTGCTCCCTCACTGGAGGTTTTCAAGAGGAGACCAAACAACCATTTGTCTGGGATAGTATAGGGTATGCTGCTTGAGTTGGCGATTGGACTAGAAGACCTCCAAGGTGCCTTCCAACTCTTCTATGCTGTATTCTATTCTGTTCTGAATGATGGCTTGCCATACTCTTACCATGGCTTACTGAACGTCTGCAAGAAAACAACCAAGCTCAGAAAGCAGCTGGATTTTCACACGTGGACTTGGTCTTTTGGGCTTGACACAACCACAAAGCATACACTCTGGGAACTCTTAAGGAGGAGCCCTCTTCACCCTCATTCTCACACACAAACGACACCTTTGAGAAGTGTCGTCACTTCTCACCATGGACACCTGGAAAGGGTCTCTGCTGCTGAACCATCTCCAAGGATTTTTCATCCCTCCCTCCCTCCCTTCCTGGAAAAGGAGAACCATCGAGGAATATTGACAGTGAGCTTGTCGAGCTGTGGAATTCTTTGGGCTCCTGTCCAGAAGGATTTTGTTTTTTCTTTTCTTTTACAGCCAGCCATCATCCTTCTTCGTTATTTGCCTTCTAGGAAATATTTTGAGAGCCAAAAAACCTTCACTGCTTGAATTAAGAACAGGACATTAGGAAGTCACCTTAACAAAAGCCAGAATTTGCAGGAGTCGCAGCCAGAAGGAGGGGAGATTGAAGAGTAAGAGCAGATGAGATCCTATCCAATAATTGGGTTTAAAAGTTGCCAAATTTGGAAAGTCCTGGATTAGCCCAACGTCTTGGGATTCATAGGTAAAGGTTTCCCTTGCACATATGTGCTAATCGTTTCCGGCTTTAGGGGGCGCTGCTCACCTCCGTTGCAAAGCCAAAGAGCCAGCGCTGTCCGAAGACGTCTCCGTGGTCATGTGTCCGGCAGGACTCAACGCCTTTCAGAGTGGCGTGCTAAGTTTCTTCCTTAACTCGTATGTCAGGATTCCAGCAATCGCCCTAATGAAATCATGATTCTCGAGCCAAACTTCAAAACACTTTGAAGGATTCATTAGAGGCGACAGATTGGCACTGCCCTGTGTGCGGCCAACTCTGGCATATGTGATTTACAGTCCCCTCTGACCCACTTTCCCCCCATTCACCCCCCCCAGGCGTGTCATAAATCAGATTCTCCAATTGAGCACTTTCACAGGCTGGGTGTCATCAATCACATTCTCCAATTAAATATATTCTCGGGCAAAAGCTCTGGTATTTTAGTTACAATCATTTAAAGATAAAGAATTGGAATGTACTTTCACTTTCAACTGCTCTTCCAGATTTCCTCCCCCCCCATTTTTTTTAAAAAGGCAACTATAAAACAGGCATTGGAATGTTTGATGAGTTGACACCTGGATCTTTTCTCACGAATAATCTTCTTTCTGGACTCTGGAGGATTATGGCCACGTTCTCAACATGCACTTAACCCATGTCTGGAATTGATCTCTTTGCTGAGTTCACCCAACCCCAAACCTCCAACTAACCCAACGGGAGGCGCTGTCAAATACCTACCAGTTAACGCCTCCTTTTCCCCTCCACAGAGGCATTTGAGATTAACCCAGCTTAGCTGGTTGCATGAACGCAACCAATCGGTGCAACAAATAAATGCAGTTGTACGGATAGAAGAGAATATTGGCAGCTCAGGGTTGAGCTGTAGGGGCCTTTAGTGCTCTCTGAACTCGATAGTTGTCTTGCAGACGTTTCATTACCCAACTAGATAACATTGTCAGTGCTAGGAGGGAGTGGGGTTTGTTGGTGGGCGGTGGGAGGAGGAGAAGGACTGTGGGGTCCTTAGTGAGCTTGGTTGTTTTCTTGCAGACATTTTATTACCCAACTAGGTAGCATCTTCATTGCTAGGAGGGAATGGGCTGTGCATAGCGGAGGACGAGGAGAAGAAGATAGTTTTTGTCTAGACATTTCACTACCAAGCTAGGTAACATTATCAGTGCATCCAGTTCCTTTCTAGGAAGCATCCTTCTCCTTTCGTCTTCTTTTCCAATCCTCCGCCTTTTCCTGCATCCCATTTTTGGAGCTAACTGGGATGGGTGGCGTTGGCGGAGTTGGAAGGATGGCCCCGTCTGCTTGGAGACCCTCACCTGACTATCTTCTCCCCCCATCCCCCCTGCACCAAATGTCTCCAACAGGTTTGGTTCCAGAACCGACGCTCCAAAGAGCGAAGAATGAAGCAACTGAGCGCCCTGGGCGCCCGAAGACACGCGTTCTTCCGGAGTCCTCGACGTATGCGCCCTCTGGGAGGCCGGCTGGATGAATCCGAGATGCTGGGCACGGCTCCTTATAGTTACTACGGAGGTAACCAACCTTTCTTGTCCCCCCAAAGGGAGGTGTTTTTTTTTCCGTCTGAATGTGGTGCTTCAAGGGTGAAATTCTTTTCTTTGGCTTCTTTTCTTCTTGCTTTCTAACCCTCCTTTGCGCTTAGGCTCCTAATTCGGGGGAGGAAGCAGGTCAGGCCATTTGCAAATGACTTTATTTCTAAATGCAGTTGTGTTTTTTTTTTGTTTTAAGTACGTGAGAATTGGTGGGTTTTGGTTCTGGCTAGGTTTGCAGCATTGCTCCCATCGCGGTTTGTGGGCTAAGCCAGCATGGCTGGGCTTCCCACCGTTGTATAGACGTTGTCTCGGCGGTTCGGGGTTCGGGGCGCGTGCGGGAGGTTTGCTCGGGCACGAGCAAGTGAAACGCACACCAGGGGGTGCGCACGTGTTGTCTGAATCCATCCAGCCTTTGAGTTTGATAAGCCTTTGGGCTCCCCCGCAGGAAGTGGGAGTCGATGGTGCTTTTCCGCGGATTTGTGGGTTTTTTTTTGTAATTTGCTCGAAAATAAAAATAAAACATGAGGCTTTTGGGCCCCCCTGAAGGGGAAGAGTCAAAATCCGGAAAGTTAATCTTGTTTAGGAAAATTTTGAGATGATGGGGGTGGGGGGGGAAATAGTGTTTTCCAGTGAGAGTTTCCTCCCCACGTTTCTTTTTTCTATCTTTCTTTTTCTGTCTCTCTTCCTTCCTTCCTTCCTTCCTCCCTTTTCCCTTTTTCTTTTTTTTCTCTATCTCTCTTTCTCCCTTCCTTCTTTCCTTCCTTCCCCTTCCCCTTTCTTTTCTCTATCTCTCTTTCTCCCTTCTTTCTTCCTTTCCCCTTCTCTTTCTTTTTTCTATCTTTCTTTTTCTGTCTCTTTCTCTCTTCCTTCCCTTTCCCTTTCTTTTTTCTGTCTCTCCCCCTTCCTTCTTTCCTTCCTCCCTTTTCCCTTTCTCTTCCTTTTCTCTATCTCTCTTTCTCCCTCCTTCTTTCCTTCCTTCCTTTTCCCTTTCTCTTTCTTTTTTCTATCTCTTTCTTTTTTCTGCCTCTGTTTCTCCCTTCTTTCCTTCCTTCCCTTTCCCTTTCGTTCTCTTTTTTTCTATCTCATTCTCCCTTCCTTCTTTCCTTCCTTCATCCCCTCCCCTCTCCTCTTCCTTTCCTCTCCCCTTCCTGTTTTCCTTCTCTCTCTCTCTCTCTCTCTCCTCCCTTCAAACTTCCTCTCTCCTCTCTCTATCCCCCTTTCCTCCTTTCTTCTCCCCTCCCCTCCGCCTCCCAGCCCCAAAGACTCTGGGGGTCGCTCGGGAAGGCAGTGGCCACTCTCACCCAACGCCCACTTTGCTCCCCAAGGCCCCCGCCCGAGCCGGCTTTCCCGGTCGAGTGGGCAGAGCAGCGTCTTCCACACCCCGAGCCGGTTCCAGACCTCCCTGCTTTGAGTTTAAAGGGCGAATTTCCCAAGCTCGCTCCTCCTCCCCTTTGTTCCTTTTCAAACAAGTATTTGCTTTCTAGCTTTTTTAAAAAAATAAATAAATATTTTATTGATTACATCATTAAAACATTGGTGTGGTCGTCCTGGCGTTCATTTTTGCCATAGTATACGATACATATCTCATATAAAGTACACCTTATATAAAGTGTCATATATTTATATAAAGTATATCTTATATAAAGTATTTTATATATTTATATAAAGTATATCTTATATAAGGTGTCTTATATATTTATATAAAGTATAACTTATATAAAGTATCTTATATATTTATATAAATTATATCTTATATAAAGTATAACTTATATATTTATATAAAGGACATCTTATATAAAGTGTCTTATTTAATAATATAAAGTATATCTTATATAAAGTATTTTATATATTTATATAAAGTATCTTATATAAAATGTCTTATATATTTATATAAAGTATAACATATAAAGTATCTTATATCTTTATATAAAGTATATCTTAAAATATTTTATATATTTGTATAAAGTATAACTTATATAAAGTATTATTTATATATTTATATATATATATATATGAAGTATATCTTATATAAAGTATCTTATATATTTATATAAAGTATATCTTATATAAAGTATCATATATTTATATAAAGTATATCTTATAAAGGATCTTATATAAAGCATATGATACATATCTTATATCCATTTATGCATTTATACAATTAACTTATACCCATTGTATTATCCATCATATTCCCTTGTAATTATTTACATCACCTCCATTATCTATTCTGCAAATCTTGATTATTTTTTTATTCTGGGTCCCTCGTTTCTCTTCCCACCATTGATAAAATTTAATCCACATCTTGTAATATTCTGTCTCCTCTTGATTTCTAGCTTTTCTTTCCCCTTGTTTCCCCCTCCCCCCCAAAAACGCCTTTCATATTGGGGTGTTCCCAACCATCCTTCGCTCTCTAACCTTTCCTTGTATGCGCTCCGCACCTGGTTTTTGTGGTTGTTCAGTTGCTGAGTCCCCTACGGCTCTTTTCGCAACCCCATGGGCCACAGCGCAGGAGTGGTACTCCCCTAGCACAGTGGCCTTCCCCTCCCCTCAACCTTTGGGGCACCAGGGACCGGTTCCGTGGAGAGAGTTTTTTTCCCCCATGGATCGGAGGGGGTGTAAATTCATGTGCTGCTGCCCCCCAAGGGTGAGGTTTTGCTGGTTTGTGTACCACCTGGTTTCTGGCATGGGAGAAGGATGGAGACCCCTGCCTCCACAGGAAACTGGTGATTGGCTTTCCTCAAGCAATAAACCCGGTTAATTTCAGTGGGGCAGTAGGGTCACTTAGCTTGCAGCCTTATAACCCTTTGTTCTGGGGTTAAATCCAGCTTTGGAAGCCATATTGAGAGCAGATGCTCCCATGCTGCCTGGAAAATTTTGAGCCTGGGAAAGTGGGAGGGGGGAATGTCTTGGTATGTAGTTAGACCTAATAACATTTTTTTTTCTGATTCAAGGTCAGGTTGTGTTGCACCTAAGTGAGAGGACGTCTCAAGTTGGGACGGATGGGGATTGGGCCACGCGATGTGATGATGAGTGCAGGGGATAGATTTGTAGTTTTTACTTATTTCAAGGAAGCCCGGAATTTTTAGATTCAGGATTCCCCAGTTGTGCCAGTTTACTATCCAAAATAAAAAGATATTTTGAGAAGATGTCTGTCTCGGAGTTAATGGTTGAAGTGGAGGTTTGCTGGAACGCTGACAATGATCTCTGCAGGGCGGCCTTCAGACTAGGCCTTCTACTCTACTCCAGGGGTCTCTAAACATGGCGACTTTAAGCCTGGAGGACTTCAACTCCCAGAATTCTGGGAGTTGAAGTCTGCCAGGCTTAAAGTTGCCAAGGTCGGAGACCCCTGTATAGTTGCCCAAATTCAGAATGTCAAGATGTACAACTGGGACACAAGGTTGTGAAAGGGGGAATTGTTTTTTGGTTTTTTTAATGGCTTGGGGAAGGAATGAGGTTCCTGGCGGAAGAGTTGTCTTTTGGCTGATGGAGTGGGGGGTTTTTCCTCCTTTTTTTGATAATGCATAATTGTGTTTGTGTAAAAATAACTTCTCTATTTATATTGGAGAGAGAAAGAGGGGGATTTATTTTGAAGTGGTGCGTGTTACAATTAATAAGTAGACAAAGATACACTTCTAGCCTTGTGATTTTGTGTTGCTGGGAGAGGAGGCAATAATTTTTGAACGAGTGTTGTAATTGATCACATACCATAAAGTCAGCATCAACTCAAGATTAACTATTAGAGCTACTCCAGGGGTTTTCTCCAGCCCAATCTGTCCCCAGATATGTTCTTCAGGTTTTCCCATGGTGCCCTCAACCCCACTGAGTCCACCCCCCCCTTAACAGATAACAGATAATCAGAGTTGGAAGGGACCTTATAGGTCATCTAGTCCAACCCCCCCCACCCAAGTGGGAGACCCTACACCATTTCTGACAAATGGCAGTCCAATCTCTTCTTGAAGGTCTCAAGTGGCTTCTGCTCATTTTCTCTTTCCTTTTGATTCCTCCAGATTAGAGTTTTCTCCAGATAGTTGGGCCTTCACACATGATGTGTCCGAAGTAGGATAATTTAAACCTGGTCATTTTGGGCCTCCAGTGAGAATTCTGGGTTTATTTGTTCAACGATCCATTTCTTGGCTGTCCAAGATATTATCAGGAGTCCTCTTCGGCTCCAGAGTTCAAAGATGTTAATCGTCTTCGTCTTCCTGTCCTTCTTCTTTTGTTCACTTTTGTAGGGTGTCAAAATATGAGGATTCTGATTTTTGTATGTAGAGAGACACCCCGTGGTTTCTAAACAGTTTTGATGGCTGTTTTGGTCAACTGCAAATTTCTGGACTGTTTGATTCCTTTCCTGTTGATGGTTGATCAGGAGTTTTCCACCACTTCCATAGCTTCTTGGTGGATTCTAAGGCTGGAGATTCAGATACAGATAATCAGAGTTGTAAGGGACCTTATAGGTCATCTAGTCCAACCCCCTGCCCAAGCAGGAGACCCTATACCATTTCTGACAAATGGCAGTCCAATCTCTTCTTGAAAGTCTCCAGGGATGAAGCTCCCACAACTTCCGAGGGCAACTTCTGTTCCAATGGCTGGTTGTTCTCACTGTCAGAAAGTTTCTCCTTATTTCCAGGTTGAATCTCTTCCTTGTTCAGTTTCCATCCATTGTTCCTTGTCTGGTCTTCAAGGTGCCTTGGAAAATAGCTTGACCCCCTTCCTCCTCTCTGTGGCAGCCCCTCAAATATTGGAAGACTGCTCTCCTGTCTCCCCTGGTCCTTCTCTTCACTAGACTAGAGATGTCATTCATTTGGTCTTCTTGACAGCCGATCTTATTCTCATTTTTCCCTCTGTGTTCCTTGACTTTTATTGCTAAAGTAATGGGTTTTCCAGATCTAGATATTGCCATTAAACAGGTGGCATGGGTAGGCGTGCAAACTGGAGAGGTTAATAGCTGCAGCTTGCGATCTGTTCATGCACAAGCGTGCATGCCTGGTTATAAATGTTCACTAAAGTGTATTGTCAGATTATTATTTTGCAAAGCGAGGCAGAAAGTTTCACTTATATTTTAAGTGTGAACGCATGCCTCACGAGCTCACAGAGACCTTCCTTCAAGGGAGTAGGTCTTGTGAATGAGTCCACCTCAGTGGGTTTGTGCTTCCAGAACTGGATTTTTTTTTAATTTTTGTCGCCTAGTGTGTTCTTTCACACCTGTGTTTCCAAAAGCAGAATCTGTCCGATTTTCTCTTTAATAAAATGAATGAAAACCAGTGCAATTCACGCCAACTGTGACAGCACTTGGATTCCTTCTTCGCCCTGGTAGGGAGGGGAAGCCCCTCTGTTGCCTACTCCCCACCCCTTACACACACACACACACACACACACACACACACACACACCATCTCACCCCCCCACACACCCCAAGTTTCCTGGGTCTGCCATCCAAGCCCCGCCTTTTAAGGCCCAGCGCACAAAAGCTGTCTTTTAGAATGATTGACACATGTAGGGAGGATTGATTGACAGAAGCGGCTTGGGTGTATTTGCGCTCCTGTGTTGTTCTGTTGTGTGTTTGGGGAAAGCTGGCTGGAGATTTTGTGGTTGTGTCCTTACAGGTTTATCGGGTCAGGTCCATGCGGACATGGCATAGCCAGCCAGGTTGTGGTGCGTTTATATAGATTTCTGAATAAAGCCAGAAAGGAACTTTGGAGGTCTTCTAGTCCAACCCCCCCTGCTCAAGCAGGACATCCTACACCTTGTCAGTTAGTTTGTTTTGTTTCGGTGATCTGTAAGCCCCTTTGCACTTTTGAGGTTCAGGAGCAGAAAAAAGGGATCCGTTCTGTAACTGGGTTATTCCTCTGAAAAGGAGCATTGGCCCTTAGGGTCAACACCCAAAGGAGAAATTAAAATCCTTTTGGAAAGCAAAAAGACCTGCCATGGTCTACTCAGAAGGAAGTCCTAAGAGAACCTTATGGGGTTTACTCCCAGGGAAGCAGGAAGTATGTCCCAGGGGGGCATCAGAGGTTCACACCCATTCAGAATATGGGCTTGACTTACTTACAAGGTAGTAGAACCAGTAAGCAAAGGGTTGGGTCTGAGAGAGGGATGGGGAAAGAGAGGGGAGGGGAGAGAGAGACAGAGACACAGAGAGAGAAGGACAGAGAGGGGGGGAAGGAGTGATGGGAAAAGAGAGGGGGGGGAAGAGAGACAGAGACACAGAGAGGGGGGGGAGAGAGGGAAGGAGTGATGGGGAAAGAGAGAGAGAGAGGGAGAGAAAGACAGAGACACAGAGAGAGAGGGACAGAGAGAGGGGGGAGAGAGAGAGGGAAGGAGTGATGGGGAAAGAGAGACAGAGAGGGGGGGGAGGGATGGGGAGAGAGAGGGGGATGGGGAAAGAGAGAGGGGGAGAGACATCCTCCAGTCTGGGGGGGATCTTTCCTGCCTTCCCCACCCAACCCTCTCTCCAATCCCATCATGCTTCCCCTTCTCCCCTGCCCTCCATCAAGTGTGGCGTGGGTGCATTTTGGATCCTTTTTGAGGGGTGCAAATCAATTCGTCCTTCAGGGGTGCATATTAGTTCTTTGTGGGGCGCAACTAAATTCCTTCTTGAGGGGTACAACTCAATTCCTTCTTGAGGGGTGCGTATCAGTTCTTTGTGGGGTGCAATTCAGTTCCTTTTTGTGGGGTGCA